GACCTTAGCTCAACTCTTGGATCTGGACTTCCTAACATCTCTTACTCCATAAAGTTAACAACTTTAAGCCTTTGCATGGCTGATAAGGCCACAACACATGAAAACTCTTGCTTTCTTAACCCAAAGTGCTCATAACTCATGCATGGGTATATTCACACGATCAAGGCCTTATTTTTATGGTTCTCCACCACAAGAAACACTTAAAAGGACAGGTTATTAAGCTCTGGAGTGCATCAACTCATAAAGCCTTAAGCTTGGGACCAAAAAGCCTAAAATTGTTCCAAGAAGCACACAACCATAACAAGGAAAGTTCTGAGCTTTTTACCTCCAAGTGAAGCTTCTCCCTCTGTAGAACTCAGATCCAAGCTTGCACTCCAACTTCTAGCCTTCACAAGAATCTCCTCTTCTTCTTTACTACCACACAAAGGCACTTTAGCTCCAAAAACACTCACACAAGCTTAGAACGAAGGTTGGCTCTCTTTTAGGGTTTCACTCACTCAAATGGTGGCTGAGGATAAGGCCATAACCTTCTTTATATAGGGCTCAAGTCTAAATTAGGGTTTTGCATCTGGGCCGGTTACGCCCAGCGTAACTTTAGTACGCCCAGCGTACTTCATGGAGTCCACGTTTATTAAAAGCGAATGAGTACGCGCAGTGTACTCTTCAGTACGCCCAGTGTACTCCTTTGTAACATTTCCATAAAGGGGCTTCTCTTGACAATTTGGAGAAGAGGAAGGGTTAAACAGATATACCCAAATTCCCGGATGTTACAGGTGTGCTTTGATTGCGTTTGGACCTCGTTTGGGAGATGTTTGGACAATGTAGGCCCAATGGAACCCTAATGGGCCAATAAGGCCCAATGTGACCTAAAAGCCCAACCAATGGACTAATGAGTTAGTATTGGGTTGGATAACCCTAATTAGGGTTTGGAAAACCCTAAGGGCATAAAACCCTAATTGTGGTAATCGTTTGGGACACACACGAGAATTAATTATTAAACCTAAATAATAATTAATAATCATTGGCAAACTAGCTTAAGGCAATAATGGACTTAATGGATTAAGTCTTTAATGGATTAAGTCCTTAATGGGTTAAGTAAGAAACACTTAACCCTAATCACCATTTCATGTGAAAGCCCTAATCTCACTCGGGCCTTGAATTGGGCCTTCCTATTGGTCTTTGGCGATTGGACTATTGGTGGGCCATCCAAGAACAAGTTAATGGACCAAAGTAATTAGATGGGCTTTAGGATAAGGCCCATGTGAGGACTTGGGCCCAATTTGGAAAATTGGGCCATAGATGGGCCATAATTGGGCCTTTATGATTACGTGATATTGGACCATGGGAATACCAATAGTTTGCACTAGAATAATTGAACGGGCCTTAAGGAAAGACCATGTAGAGGTCTGGGCCCAATTTGGAAAATTGGGCCACATGTTGGGCTTTGGCCCATTATTTGACTTTTGGGCTTTTGTAATGTGAGTTGGACCTTGGGCTTGGAACCCAATTATTAATTGGGTATTGTTTGATGTTGACAGTTCGGGAATCTGTCAACCAGCAGCTGGAGTTTTGTCTGCAGGACTTCAGCAGTACCAGGTGAGTTATCCTCGCTATACTCAAGGGTCTAAGGCACCAAGGTCGGCCCGTTGAATTGTTATTGGTTATGTTATATGTGCACATGTTTGTTTGGCGGTTGAGGCTTATCTGCTTTGTGCGAAAGCCAATAGACCTGGGCATTCCAACCTGTTGGTTGTGGGCCGTGAGTATTCCATCCCGAGGATGATTGGACTTATAGTATGTGGGCATTCCAACCTGTTGGTTGTGGTCGGTGAGTATTCCATCCCGAGGATGATTGGACTCATAGTATGTGGGCATTCCAACATGTTGGTTGAGGGCCTGGGGTATTCCATCCCGAGGATGATTGGACCCATAGTATGTCGGCATTCCAACCGGATGGTTGAGGGCATGGGGTATTCCAACCCGATGGTTGACTGGACCTATAGTATGTTGTTTATGATAATGTGTGTATTGTTGTGGGTATGGGTATTTTGGGGGAACTCACTAAGCTTTCGGGCTTACAGTTTCAGTTTATTGTTTCAGGTACATCAGGGGATCGTGGCAAGGCAAAGGCGTGGTCGTACAGCTCCTCACTTTTTATGACTTTGTTTCTGGGATACTCTGATATGATACATTTTGAAAACAAGTTTTGTAATGGTTAATGGTTTTGAAAATGTTTTAAAAGTTTTAAATTGGCTTGAATTTTATGGGCGTTACAATTAGAATATAAAATCACAAATCTATATATTATATTATTCAAATTTAAATATTACACTTGTTTGTATTATTTGTTCAATTACATATGTTTACCGTTCAATTATTTCGATTGCAATTGTCAACTGAGAACCGACTTTGAACAGTTGAACATAAAGTGCAATAGTAGTAGTATGTTGTCTATATAATTGCAATTCTCTCTTGACTTTTGATGTTACCGTAAAATTGAAAATGTGATTGTGAAACACTTAAACGTAAATACATAATTCTAATACTCTTTTCTCCTTGTCTTATACTTTTTTTTGGAACGACGACGATTTAGTAAATACTAGCAAAAAGCTAGAAATGAACCATTAAAAAAGAGTAGTAGCTACACTTGGGTTATGTCACCCACCCTCTCACAGGCACCCTCAGCGTCGTCGATCGTATTCTTCTCCGACCACTGCTAACCCTACGCCTCCTCTCCTCTTCCCACCGCCACTGATAGACCACATCGTTCACCCCAACCCTTTCACCTCCATTACTAGACACTACCCTCGTATCCATCGTCGCCCACCTTTACAATTTTCTGAAACACGAGTTTTCCAAGGTTTGGTGCCATCAACCTTGAGGTGTTGTTTTCATCGAATTTTCCATGTTTATGATTTTGGTTTCCCATTTTAAACTCGATTTTTCCTATTTAGGAATCATCCACTTTTGAAATGGTTGCAAATCAAGGGTGAAATTAAAGTTTTAGGGTTTGGTTTATGGGTTTGGGTTCATTTGAGTGCTATGTTAGGAGAATGTAAATAGTGTTTATGATAGATGGTTTCCAAGTTTGGTTCATTGAGTATTGAAATTTCTCTTTTTATTTTAGACTTAGTTTATCGAATTTGTGGTTCTAACTTCTTGTGTTTTTTTTATGTTGTAGGTGGTGGGAGTAGTAGTGATATACGACAATGGTGGTGGCAATGGTATATGGTGGTGGTGGAATGAGAAAAAATATATTGAAGTTAAATAAGTGGCGAAATGAGGATACAAATAAATCAAAATGAGAGTAAAATGGTCATTTTATTAGTTTTATGATATGATTTAAACAATTATCTTCTAATGGTGTTAGACCGAAGGGTATACCATGGGAAAGGAGTGAAAGATGATTTCCCTCGCATTGGAACACCATACCACCACTGCGTTTTAGAGGGTGCGGGAAAAGAGTGAGGGAAGCATATCCATCACTCTCTCTCCTCGTGTCATTGGTTGGTCTTTTTTTTCAGTTTTTTAATATTTATTAAATTATATATCTACTAAAAAATTATAAAAAATATATCAAAATTTATAGCTTTTAATTGCCTATAATGAATGGTGATCATTTCCTACCTTTTGATGAAATGGAGAGATATGGAAAATTGACGTCACAGTCAAAAAATGAAAGATGTTTTTGAACATACATTATGGTAGGGATGTTATTCGGGTCGTAACCAAACCGAACCGACCCGAATCCGAATAAACCGAAAACCGAATAAGAGTAATTGTATGAACCGAAAACCGAACCAAATAAGCAATACGGGTTCGGTTCGGTTTGGGTATTATTCGGTTCGGTTCAGTTCCGGTCCGAATAACCCAAATAACATGTACAAGATGATTAAGGAGCCGAATAACCCAAATAACTCAAATAACATTTACAAATAACATTTACAATGTGATTATAAATATTGTATTTTGTATGACTTTTGTAGCTTATGATTTCATAACAAATCTTTTAAAGAAACAAATTAAACACTAAAAGACTAATGTCGCAAGGATGAGAAAAACTTCAATCGATCAAAGAGTAATGTCGTCGACTCGTCGATTTGGTGTAATACGCTATTGTCGATTTGGTGTAATACGGATGATCGAATTCGATTTCGTTGATTTTTTTTGGTGTATTACGTGGGTTTTGTTGGGTAACGATCGATAGAAAAGAAGACCGAATAAACAATCGTGTTAGGAAAAAAAATGTGACTTTTCATATTCGGTTCGGTCCTTTTGAATAAGCCCTTATTCGGGTAATCCAGACCGAATAACCCGAAAACTGAATAAGCCTTATATAGATACCCGAAAACCGAATCGAATTGCTTATTCGGGTCTAATTCGGTTCGGTTCGGTTTTTGGTTCAGGTTTTCAGGCCAAATTCTCATCCGTACGTTATGGTCTTAGAGAAACAAAAAAAAAACAAAAAAAAAAACATACAGCTACATCAATTTTTCAAATCTTGAAGTAAAACTAAATATGAATGTGACCATAAGGAGTACAACTATAATAATTGATAAGCTAATTTATAAACTAATAGTATTTGGTAAAAAAATAACTTATAAGTTAGATTGCAATTTTTTAAAAATAACATAAATAGACATTTAGATATATAACCTAAAAAATAGATATAATTAACAAAACATATCTAAAAGCTTGCAAAAAGTTATTTCAATATAACTTTTTAAAAGCTAGCTTATAAATTGGTTCATAAGTTAAATTAAACCACTTTTTATTTTTACCAAATAGATAATTACAACAAACTGCTTATTTCAAAGAGGATCTTACTTCGATTATATGTAATCCTATCATTTGTCGTTATATATTTATTAATTTCCTAAGTAGTCATTATTTGTCCAACAATCACATTAACACACACATCCAAATGCTTTTTTCTTGTAACATCCTTTTTTATTACAATTAACTAATTTTAAACTTCAAGATAATCAAGAAAATAAAAAATGCTCAAAGGTACAAAGTACAACCATCCGTGCTCAAAGTACAAGTCAAAGAAGCAGTATGTAGAAAAGACTGAACTCAAAGTCAACGCTGTTGACTTTGACTTTGACTCATCTGCGATACCTGTAACGTTTAAAGTTGAAATATACATGCAAGATTCCACGTTCAAACGTGCATTTGAATCCCTTCTTGTGAGAATACTCCCATTCTTTGTTCACTATGCGAAATGCCTATCACAAATAAAACACATTTACGAATAAATTATTGTAGCATAATAATAATAATAATAATAATAATAATAATAAGAAATCAATAGAAACTTGCGATATCTTCGTAGGGTGGGCCCGCATGGAAACGAATGATGCATGTTTCAGCACTATCACCATCCTTTTCAATTGTATAAATTGGCGCTTTAATTTTATCCACAAGATCCGGATAAAATATATTAAATTTGTATCCTTGAACAATCTTTGGAGGTGGATTATCATGATCATAATGAGTTTGATTGTATTTATTCCACTCGTATCCCGTGTGCACTCTGTTGAAATACTTGGGTTTTCTTGGCCTATATTTGTCATGCCACCAGTACACCTGTAAAAAATCATACACACATCCGTAAATTTAAATTCGTTTATTTTTTTAATTTTTAAAACAAAATATAAATATAAATACCTGTGAATCAACATTAACTTCATCACTGTTTCCAAACACCTCATCACCATTATCCATAGCTCCCATGATTTTCACAGCTCTCATTTCCAAATTATTATCTTCAGATGAAGGAGGTGGTGGCCTTGAAGCCATTGCTTCTTGAAATTTCCTCTGTTGTTCTTCCACTACTTCCACACGTTTCCTTTCCTGTTTTTTACAAATTACAATAATTACACAAAGTGAAAGTGAAAGTGAAAGGGAAAGGGAAAGGGAAAGGGAATGGGTGATGTAATTTACCAAAATGGCCCTGTCCTCTTCAGGATCAATTGCTTCTTCATTTTCATCACCATGTAACAGCTCCGGTGAGAAAGAGCCAGCTTCTTCTTCTTCTTCCTCCTCCTCTTCCATTGTCTTGTCCTGTGGTATTGGTTCAGGAGAGACACGGGGTGAATTGACGGAAATACCCTTGGAATCATGATCAGATTCTTCCTCCACTTTGGGTGAAACGGTTTTGTCTCTTTCCATGTCCCCGTATGATGGTTTCTCAAGATGTTCTAGATGCTTCCTCAACATCTTATTGTGAATTTCCTTTAAGCAAGCCTGCAAACACACCAAATTATATGATGATGATGATGGTGATGATGATGATGATGATGATGGTGATGATGATGATACCTTGGCTTTATAGATGTGAAGGCGTTTAAGAACAGCTTCCCAATACTCAACAACTTTAGCAGTGCCTGAACGCATTTGTGACTCGATTTGTGACTGAAGAGCTTCAAGGGCAAGAAATGACTTTCCATCTAGAAGCTTCTTGACATCAGCTTCTATACTTGAGTGCAAACCTCTTTCTTCTGCAAGTAACTCGGCAGGTGGTTGTTCACCTCTGACTCTAGCTCGATCCAATGTATCTTTTTTTCGTGCCTCACCTAATTCCCACTCACATACCACCAATAGTGCCTGTTTAATCAAATTTTTTACATCATCAAATCAACAAAAGGGTATTTTCGTCATTTAACGTAATCTTCCTTGCCTCCTTATCTTGTTCTTCAAAGTCAATAAAGGGTACTTTTTGTCATTTAACAAAAATTTCCTTACCTCCTTGTCTCATTCCTCAAAACCAACAAAGGGTATTTTAGTCATTTAACATGATTTTCCTTATCTCGTTCTTCATAATCAATAAAGGTTATTTTGGTCATTTAACATAATTTTCCTTATCTCGTTCTTCAAAATCTATAGAGGTTACTTTGGTCATTTAACATAATTTTTCTTACCTCCTTATCTTGTTCTTTAAAACCAATAAAGGGTATTTTGGTCATTTATCATAAATTTCCTTACATCCTTATCTCGTTACACAAAATCAACAAAGGGTATTTTGGTCATTTAACATAATTTTCCTTACCTCCTTATCTATTTCTTCAAAATCTATAGAGGTTACTTTGGTCATTTAACATAATTTTTCTTACCTCCTCATCTCGTTCTTCAAAATCAATAAAGGGTATTTTAGTCATTTAGTATAATTTAGATTCGAATTCATTTGATGATTTTGCAAACCAAACAGTACAAAAAAAGCATGAAAATGGAAATTTTGTTACTGTTTAATTATTGACATAAAAAAAGATTTTTCCTGGAAAAAAAAATGGGACTTAAGGATCATATATATATATATATATATATATATATATATATATAGAGAGAGAGAGAGAGAGAGAGAGAGAGATTACCTCCCAATATTGTATATGAGTTGGTGTTCCTCTGTCCAAATCTAGATGCATTTTTATGTCCTCATGAAGCTCTTCCATTTCCTTAACTGTCAAACCCTGTGTAAATCAAGAAACTATTTTTAGCCTAAAATATAAATGATACAGATTAATAAACATAAATTTACTCAAAAAAGTACAAAACAAATAGATTTGAAAAATAAGATTAAGAAACTAACATACTAGAATGTTAATAATAGGGCTTAAAAAGTACCTTAAAGACCATGTATGGCTCCTCTAATTCTACATCAAATTCATCAGAAGGATTAACATGCTTTGATAATATATCAATTGGCTTGATACGCCCTTCACGCAACCGTATTCCAGATCGAACTTTGCTTTGATCAAAATGAAACTGTAATCATGACAAGGGCATTCACGTCATTTGCACAGATAAAAAAAATTACAATTTTTTTCCATTGACATCAGTCTGAGTCTCAGTCCCAGTCCCAGTCCAATACATGTTACAAGGTTGTCAGATACAAGATGACAAGATATATTTACAAAAAATATTAGATTTTTTTTTTTAATGTGGAAAAAGAAAAGTAATAAATTATTCAACCTCTTCTTCTTTCTTTTCCCAATCTTGGAATTCAGCTCGAGCACGCTCTCTAGCTAACAAGGCCTGTAGAAATAATGGGTATTAAGTTATATAAGAAAATAAAAAGTAATAACTTTTTTAAAATTAGATTAAGGTTGCTAATTATGAGAAAGAAAGTAGAATGATAGTTAATTAGTTATACATAATACATATCAAACTTTTACCATTTCCTCTTCATGTTGTGCTTTTTCAATGGCCCTTTCCTCCCTTCTCTTTTTAACTTTTTCAATTTCGGCCTGTAATTTATGTAAAGATATGAATTAGATAGAAAGTATAATACAAAAGAATGAAGAATCACATTATAAATAGAAATCATAAGAGGAAAAAACCATGAAAATAATTTGTTTGCAAGTTACATACCATTCTTTCTTTCTGTTTCTTCTTTTCAGCTTTAACAGAGAACATGTCAAGAGGAGCTCCTTGAATAACATCTCGCTCAATCTTCTTTCTCCATACAAACCTGCAAATTTATATCATATTTTCATTATTACCAATAGCATTGATTTTCTAAATTAGCACTATTTGTCAAAGATTATCCAAATTATTACCATTAGATTAAATCAAAGAAGAAATCATATAGGCTAGCTGAATGTGCCTAAAAGGCAACATAAAAGAGACCAAAGGACTAGAAACTTACTTCTCATTGAGGTTGGAATCACCAAACGGATTGGAGTCATTGGCATAACCATAAACATTCTGAGCTCTCAGCTTCTTTGCTACTTTCGTTGCCTAAAGAATCATAAGTAACACAATCAAATCACCAAACAAGGTACAAATCACATTTAGTCAAACAACTTTAACTTGTGTAAAAACTGGAACCTTTTTCTGAGCTTTCTTGGTTAGATACTCAGCGATCTCGTCTTCACTAATCTTCTTCGAAGACCCTGTCCCCTTTTTTTTCTTCTTACTCCTGTGGTCATCGGAATCGGAATCGGATTCAGAATCCCGACGCCGGCTGTGCTTACTACTGCGGCTTCGTTCTTTACTTCTCCCAGAAGAGCGTCGTCGGGGAGAAGAATCATGGCTGTCGGATTCATCCGAGATGGAGGGGGAATTATCATCACGGGTGTGTCTTCGTTTGGAGTCCTCTCTTTTAATCATCCTCCTACTGTCCATTATTATTTTGCCCTACGCGAAACCTTCAAAATCCCTGGAGGAAATTCCAATCTTAGATAGAGGGTTTTAGGGTTTCTAGGTTATCGCACGGCGTGCAAAGTAGTGATGTTTAATTTAATTGTCCAAGTTCCCCAACTTCAACAATTTTACGACGATCGCTTGAACATAGACATACATCTAAATTGCAGATAAAAACCAGTGCAGTATCTTACCTCGCTCCGAAACAGAAGTTGATCCAGATACGCAGCAGTTCTGCTTCGAATATAAAGTTAACGCGTAAAAAAAAAAAAACTAGGATTTTGTAGGTGGGAAAGCTGGGGATACTTCGGGGAGTAAGAATGAGAGGGTAATTTAATGGAGAGAGTAAGGTGGTGATTTCGTTGTTTTGATTGGGACTTCCCTCTAATGAAGTGTTCGTGAGATTGGGTTTATTGAAATGGATATGAGTAGAAGGGAGGCTGGGAGGGTTTACTGAAATCGGGAGGTTTATTGAACGGCGACGCCGTCACGCCGACGAACGGAAGATTAGGAAGGCCGACGACAGGGACGAATGATAAGTCGTTACGGGGAGCAGGGGCGGGGATCGTCGTCGTCTAGGAAGGCAGCTATGTAAAAAAGAAACGTAAAAAATATAAAAGGGATAGGCAATTTGTGAATGAATCGGTTGTTCATTGTTTCATTCGGATATAGTTTCAAACTATCAAATTACCTTCATAAAAAAAATTATATTATGTTCTTTTTTTTTTTTTTTTTGTTAACCATCAAATTTTAATTATGTATAAATATATTAATAAACATGTAACTTATGAACAATAACTCGGGTATTTATTTTCTGGTTTTGGCTTTTGGCTGGGTTGGAGCCGATCTTGGGCGGGTTTCTCGCATGTTTGACATTTGGTCCTCCTCATTTGTTTTTGCAGGTGTAAAGATATTGTCATTTGCCTCCAATCCAACTCTTCCACCCGGTTCTCATCGCCTTCGTTTCTAAATTGTCTTCTGTCTCTATTCGTCACATGTGTACCTCATTAAGAGAATGGTCGGTTTTTTGCAGTTGTCGATGGCGATGATGTTGTTTTTTTGTTCGTATCTGATATGAACGCTCTTAGGGTTAACGTAAGCAGCGATGGTATTGGCTATTCATTAGAGGTTGTGACATGCTAGTGGCTTTAGGGGTTTCGACGAAGAAATAGGGAGGACGTAGATGGGGAGCTGTTGATAACGGGTGGCCGAGGATGGTTGCGATGAGGTTCCAGACGGGTTTACAAAATCAGAGGGGGGTCGACGGAATTTGGGGAAGCCTTTCCATATTGAAAAACCATCAGAGCAAAGTTATTTTCATTTTCCTTGTTGAATAGGTGTCCAAGATCATTACTAAATTGGCCAAAGTCAAAACTAAATTGATATAACTTTATGGAATAATAGTAAAGTCTTTTTTAGGTTGTCATTAATAACTAGAAATAGCTAGAAATGACTTTAGGGAGATAGATAAAATGATTTGTTAATTTATTATATGATTAATAAATTAATTAGAAATAATTGAAGTTAATTAATTATTAATCAGTATTAATCTACAATTAATTTGGGATTAACTAAAATTAATTAAAGGTAAAAGAGATTAATTGTAATTATTCAATAAATGAGCAAGATAATTCTAGAACCTACCATGTTATGGACGGTTTTAAGGAGGTCTTTTAGGGTTTCTTGAAGGACAAAATTGCAAAAATGGTCTCTGTGGTTGGCAAAATTATGTAGTTTTAGTCCAAAAAGTTTCGATGGTGCACCAGTGGTCCAATTTTGGATCTTTTTAGTAATTTTGGTCCCTATACACTTAAAAAGATGATTATACCCTTTATATTCATTTTTTAATTATTTTATATTTATATTAGTATTTTTAATTAATTAAAAAATAGAAAAATGTCATTTCTCTCTCTCTCTCTCTCACACACACACACACACACACACACACTTGTAGCCTGATGAGTTTCTTCTCTAAATCTTGCAGTTCTTACAATAGGGAGGATGAACTGACAATCATATGGGCATTCAATGAAATGTTCCCAGTAGGCAGATATTCGACTTACAAGGCCATCAAAGTGAAGCTATTCTATGCACTAGTTAGCCAGAACAGTTAATGACCTAAACAGTACAAAACAAGCACTTGAAAGAGATGTCCCTTCTGGTATGTTCTTTGTGTGGGCATGTGTGCTTGATGATCAAGAAATCCAGGTAATTGTTACGCAGAAACCAACCACTACCTCTTTGTTTCAAACACATGTTTATCCATCAATCTGAAGCTCTATTTTGGGGTACTAGATTAAAATGCAGAAACCAACAACCACCGCTCACCAACAACATCTTTCGTTGCTTCACCACCAACATCTTCCGCCGTCCACCATTAATTTTTATCCAAGATCAAAATAAGAAAATAACACCCAAATCTGGAACAAAATCGAGAAAAATATCTGGAATAAAATGTGTGTGAGGAACAGAGAACCGGAGGTGATCTCCATCTCCACCGTCCATCACCGTTCGCAAACACCACCATCCGACGCCAACCACCTCCATTTCCTTCATTGAATTTCTGGGTTTGTTTCTAGAACTGGAATTGAGTTTTGAATCTAAAAAAAAAGCTTATGGGTAATGGGCTTTCAAGAACAATCGATTTCGTTTCTGTATTTTCATATCATATCTAGGTTTAGGGATTGAGTTAGAAGAATGTTGGAGGAACGAACAATTTTGGTTGATCGGAGGTACTAGCGCTCATTTGGTTGCTGTTCTTCAAAGACTTCTAAAAGTGGTTGCCGAAATCAAAATCTCATTCACACTAACGTCAAAATCTGATGGAGATGATAAAGATGATGAGTTTACAGATCTATACACTTTGAGTTTCGAGGTGTGTTCTTCAGATTTTGGGTGTTGGCACATTTGTACCCGTTTGCAAAATAATAAGGAGAGAGATATTTTATTTTCTTTTTTAATAAAAAATAATAAGAAATTAAATAAAATAAGTAATGAAGGGCATATTTGTCATTTCATGTGGGGTATGGACTAAAAACACACAAAAGTATCAACCATAGGGACCAAAATCACTAAAAAGATCCAAAATTGGACCACTGGTGCACCATCAAAACTTTTTGGACCAAAACTACATAATTTTGACAACCACAGGGACCATTTTTGCAATTTTGTCTTCTAGAAACCTTCTAGTAGCTGATAGGGATAGAGATTTGAATATATTAAATTTATTATTTAATTATTCAAATCAAGGTTTATCCTTATGATCTATCAACTATAAATAGGACCCCTTGGCTCCTATATTTCATGGCTTTTACCTATTATCCTACCTAATAAATAAAGAACTTATTGTCACATGTCATCTTCTCCTTAATTTGGACACATGACATTTTCTAAGCAATTTTGATTTAATGTATATTCCACGTGTTTATTTCTTATTTGTTCCAACAGATTTTAATTAACAACTCACTAAATTATTTATGCAAAATCAATATTAAAATTAATTAGAATTATTGCTTTCAAAAATATTAGCTGTAAATTCGGTTCCTCTAGAAAATCACACACCAAATTGGTTTTAATCAACCCGTATAATACACGGGTCTCACACCCAGTTAGGTAAACAATGAAATTCTCTTCATCTCCCTTCTCTACTCTTCATCCTTTGGGTTTCTATGGTTTTTGGGTGTGAGCCACTAGAGGCAGCCATACTTTTGGTGCTAGCTTTCTGAGGCGGATATGAGGATTCTAAAGTGTTATATATGATTATAACACAAAGGTATGTATTGCATTCTATGAATTTTGATTATTCAATAGGGTTCTTAGTTTAGTTTCATAAGTATGTCGCTATTGAATGTGAAAAGACATAGATCTGTTAGGGTGCATGTACACTTAAGTGTTAAGTGTTTTTCCTCATGTACAATTTTTGTAACCTATAATTTCCATCAGTGGTATCAGAGTCATGTTTTTCAATTGATAGTGCATAATAGATGAAATTTGCAATATATATATATATATATATATATATATATATATATATATATATATATATATATATATATATATATGAAACGTCCCCAATTGCAGAATAAATTTTTTTATTTTTAAAATAGAATAAACACTCATTTTTATAAAATTATATTAAGTCACACCATTTGTTCAAAAACAATAATTCAAAATCAAAGTTATATGGAAAACAATGCGGAATATTGAATCATAAAATCGTTGATGTGCATGTGTATAGTCCTGCATTCGCAATCCGATAAGTACCTGAAAAACATTAAAATCCACAACTGTAAGCCAAAGCTTAGTGAGTTCCCCACAATACCCCATACAACAATACATATACAATGCATACACACCGGGCCCACAATATAACATTGGATTTCCCCCGGCTGTGACATCCCCAAATTTATGGTTATTTTAAAACTTTTATTTATGCTTATTTTAAAACAGAGTATTTCTTTTGTTGCGGAATTGGTCCCAAAAATAACCTTGATATGAAATAATATCAAATCTAGGCATTTCATATGAAATGATTTTCATTGATTTATAAAAGTTTGGGATGTCATAACTGATAAAGAACATAAGCATAAACAGAGACTTACAGTGTCTCATTATACTAACATTCTACATCTCCTTGAATCTCTCATCATGTGTGCAACTTTGCACCACTACTTGTGATACAAAGAAGTTGAGTAGGTTAGGTTGGGAAACCTGACGAGTACATAGGGTTTTCAACCCATAGTGATATATGTGTTAAATCATCAAACAAACAATTAACCCAATTACTCATCCCCGTTTTCTTATTTATTCTTCCCTAAGGGTTTATCTTAAGTGTCACACCCCCGGTCGCCGGCGGAAACGCCGAGGTGCACGACGTAAATCAACGATCATAGTTATTGAGCATACATTGAACAGTACAAATAAAATCTTCTATTATCATCGAAACAGAAATTACATTGACAATAGTTATTGCTAAATCGCGGCACACGCCTAAAAATCCAGCGTTTACAAATGTATGGTAAAAATAACAGAGGGTCTTCTGAACGAACACTTCCGACCTTCTAAATAACCTAAGAATACATGCATTAAGATACGTCAACAAAATTGTTGGTGAGTTCAACAGGTTTTGACACAAAATATTTTTTTTTATACTCAAAAGTGTTTTATAAAATTTATCTGGTTGATCAGCTTTTATAAGTTCGTAATTTTCTATCAAGAGTACAAAATATTTGAGTTATAAAAGTGTATTTAGACTCATTCAGAAATATCGTTTGCTTAAATCCAAAAATACACCATTTGATAAATATATAAGTATATCAGACTTGTATCAAATTTTTACGGTTTCCATGACCAAAATATTTTAATGTAAGGATTTTGAATACCAATTTATATAAAATAAAGCCATGTCACACTTTGTGAAAACATAAAATAGCCAACTTTACCCTTGAAACCTTGTACATGCATTTCTATAGTTTTATATGTAAAACTCATAAGTTTTGAATTTATAAACTTTATAAATTCGTGTCGTGGTATTAATGAAGTGTTATCTTACATAGTTTGGAAACCGACACTTAATCAGTAGGGAAACTCTTCCCACATAAATATTGTATTTTCATAAAAAAAACAAAGGGTTTATATAAATAACTTATTAAATGTAAGTT